CCCCCGCCATCAGACGGAGTCGAAGGGGCAGCTGGGATGGCCAGTGTCCACGCCATGGCTCACGCCATCCACAGCCTTGCACACAAGAGCGCAAGCCCCGCGATGAGCCCTTACCTTGGCGCTACAGTGGGCTGGAGCCCGGAAGCCTGTGTCTACAACAACCGCGTACAGCTGGTGGTCGGCTGGAGTGTCTTCTTGCAGGAAAATGTACCCCGCCTTCTCTCTCTCGTGACGATCCACACGCCTGGTTTTGGTAACCAAAAGTGCATAGAGAACCACAGAAACCGCAATCAAAATACTGGGAAGCAGGTTTCCCGGGTGTCTATAAACAGAAGAAGAGGAATGAACAGTAAATTATGAAGATAAAGCTCCCCAGGCTGGCTCACACTCACTCACACTCACATTCACACACGGGGCCCCTGCTGGTCTTCACTGATGTGTGTAGACGTCTGTCGGCCCCATAACTGGGAGAAGCAGGCAGACTCTTGCTGGGACGCGGTCAACAGGGGAAGGCGGAGGGAGCGACCTCTGCTGTCCGGTGTTGGGACAGGTCAGAGCCCCTCTGGGGGAAGCCGTTGGTGGCTGGATCAGGAGCTAGGACTCAGACAAAGAATCCCGGGAACCGGCCAGCTTCGGGGTCAGAAGGGTGCTGCCGTGCAGGGCAGTCGCTCACGTCCCATCTCTGAGAAGCTTTCTTTATGAAATGGGATGAGAACAGGGCGCCTGGGTGGCTCAGTCTGTTAAGGGTCTGACTCTTGATTTCGGCTCAGGTCGTGATCTCCTGGGTGCGTGGGTTCGAGCCCCACATCAGGCTCTGCGCTGACAGTGTGGAGCCTGTTTGGGATTCTCTCTCTCCCTTTGTCTGCCCCTCCGCACTCACGTTGTCTCTGTCTCTCTCAAAATAAATAAAACTTTAAAAATTAAAAAAGAGAGAGAAAAAGGAATGTGATGAGAACAGCCGTCTCGCTGAGCAGTACGTGCGACATCCGTAGTGGGCTTGCACACGTGCATGCAGTGGGTGTTCCCTCCCTCCCTCCTGGCAGACCCTGTCCTGCGTGCTTCGGCTGCCTGCGCCCCTACACCTGTCACTCGCCACCTGCTCCAGGCACCAGCGCTGGCCGGGGGCAGGGGGCACCGAACGCTCCAGACCCACGGAGCGGGGTCCCCTTCGAGTCACTTGTGCCAGCACCCTAACCTGGACTGGAGTCTTACGGGCCTCTGACGGGGTTTTGAAGGGCGGGCGTGGGGCCTGGCTTCGTGGGGTTGCTGTCCTCCCAGAACATTCCTGTCCCTGCAGGACTCCAGGGGCTGCCCCTCCCCTGAAGGCTCAGCCCCCTGAAGTTCTGTCTGAAACCACAGTTGGACAGCTGTCCTGAGTCCCAGTCACTGGGCTCCTGGTGACCCCAGTGTCCCCAGGATTAATAAAGTACAGCCAGATTCCCCATCACAATGAGATTTGGCACAGAAACCTAACACCCAACGCTCACCAGAAAATTCAGATACTCATTCAGCAAACGCCCACTCGGCACCTGCTGTGTGCCAAGCCCGGTCCTCCTCTGTGTGCGTGACACTGAAGAGTCAGCAGAGGGCGCCCGCTCCATGGCTCACACTCTCCTTACCCGTAGTTCAGAATTCAACACACGTATTCTTTCTTTTATGTTTATTTATTTATTTTGAGAGAGAGAGAGAGAGAAAGCAAGTGGGGGAGGGACAGAGAGAGAGTGAGAAAGAGAGAGTCCCAAGCAGGCTCTGCACTGTCAGCACAGAGCCCTATGCAGGGCTTGAACCCACGAACTGTGAGATCATGACCTTAGCCAAAATCCAGAGTCCGATGCTTAACTGACTGATCCACCCAGGCGCCCCCAAATACACTGTTTCTATACCAAAAAATGGCTATAGAATAGGGTTGAGTCCAAATCTATTCTCTAAAATGGGACACTTTTGGAGGGTACCTGGCTGGCTCAGTCACTAGAGCATGCGACTCTTGGTCTTAGGGTCGTGAGTTCGAGCCCCATGTTGGGTGGACAGATCACTCAAACAAAAAACCAAACTAACTTCAAAAATAATATTAATAAAACAAAATGGGACACTTTTGAAGAGAAAGAGGGAGCCACGAACACACATAAACCAGGACGGGCAAACCACCGCATCCTCCCTGGCAAGAATGACCAGCCAAGGCTCAGCCTGACAGGAAGCGCGCTGACTTTCCTGCTTATACATCTCTTGTCAGCGGATGTAAGTACAGAGAAATGTACGTGACATTCCGGACGATAGTCTGGTAACACGGGTATTCCAAAAGGCAAGCTGACCGTAAGGGACGTGGGTTTCGGGCATACCTGGGTGTCCCGCTCGGTCAGCGGGGCAAACAAAACTTTATTCTCATTTGGAAAACGGAGCTCACCTCTGCAGCTTGGAAACGCCCTCCACTGAAAAGCCGGCACTCAGGTTTCTTCTTGCGACAGAGACCGGTGCGAGGCGATCGTAGCTAGGAGGGAGACGCGGCTTAGGACGGCACGTGTGTGTCGAGGGCCGTGTCGACAGTGTCACGTACGCGGATTAAGGGAGGGTCAGGAAGGGTGATGGGTTGCAGCACATAACAGACACCTGTTATGCAGACACCTCAGTGTCCACACTGTGCACAGTCCAGCTCAGGCCCGGACACAGCAAGTTCAAGTCCCAGCCCCGCTGTGGGCAGATGAGTGGCCACTAAGCAGACTCGGGGTACAGGGACCCTGTCACCGTCACTCCTACCAAAAGACTGACTTTGTTTGACTAAAACCCACCTCTCCCTCGTTGTCTCGTGAGCAGACCCTGTGTGGCGTTCATTCTCGTGCCCCTGGCTCGTGGAAAAGTGTCCGCGGACGGCGGGATGTGATGGAGAATGAACGGCTGTGTTAATGCGTTCGTGGTCAGTTTGACATCAGAGGTAAATACTGAGCCGTTACAGTAGGGCCGATGATTTACTAGCCTGGGCACCGTATAAATTGAACAGCACAACCGAAGAAGAGGAGGGAGACACGCAGACATGGGCGTGAGCTGGGCATCTCAGCCTCCTAACAGACGCCACAAAACACGGCTCCTCGTGACTTGATTTTTCTCTCCCCTTCCCTCCCCTTCCTCCCTCCATTTTCCCTTCCCTCCCACTCTTTCTCTTCCTCGCTGCCTCCTTCCCTCCCTCCTTATTTTGAGAGAGAGAGAGAGAACATACACATGGGCAGGGGAGGGGCAGAGAGAGAAAGAGAATCCCAAGCAGGCTCCACACTGTCAGCAGAGAGCCGGACATGGGGTTTGATCCCACGACCTGTGAGATCATGACCTGAGCTGAAACCAAGAGTCAGACACTCAACTAACTGCACCACCTGGGTGCCCTGAGACTCGATTCTAAGAAGGAAATGACCATTTCTACTTCTGAATGTGCCCGATCACTGTACCCTGCCCTCTAGTGGAAAGGTTCCGGCAGAGCCTCCCACAGTACTGCCCGTTCTGCCTAGATGATAAAGAATTTCTAATCGAGCAGCGTGACCGATACACCCAAATCTTCCAGAGGGCCGATGTGGTCCGTGTGGGGACTTTCCTGCACAGGAAATCTGCCTTCACAACCATGCGGTTGGGGGGCTTCCCACAGGTGGGGCGCCAGGGCACGGGGGGTGGGGGGGAGCGGCGAGAGCAGACGCCCCACGGCCCAAGTGCAGACGCGCCCCCAAGAACGTGCAGAGGCGGCTGACACCAGGCGCCACCCCACCCACCAGCACATTTCTTCAGAGGATGTGGGGGGACAGCTACCATGTGCCGTCACCTCGGGGAGGGGAGGGTACAGAGAACCCAAGAGCCAGATCCTGAAGCATGGAGGGGACCAGACCTGCTGACGGGAGGGACGCACAGTTTTCCCAGGGCCACGGCCAGGGAGACCCCACGCTGGGCCCCACGCAGAGGAAAATGCAGCCGTGGTGTAAGTTGGGTTCGTCCTCACCAGCACGTCCCTACCTGCAGCTCACTTTCCCTGGAGAAGCTCCTGGCTGCGGAGAGGAGTTTGCAGACCTCCATTCCCTCGTCTCCCAGAAGACGCATCGGAGCCACTGGAAACGCACAGTGTAGTTGACGGCCTTGGCCAAATACTTGTTCCGAGGGCTTCTGTCATAGTCAGCATCCAGTAAGGATAAGTATCCCAAGCTTGTGTCTAAGGAGAGAAAAAAACCCAACTCAATACAACCTGAAGTTTGCAAAAAGGCACAATGCACCCCAAAGGTGGCCGGGGCAGGGGGGCTGTGGGTGGGGGACAGTAGTGGGCAAGTGGGGGTAGTGGGCAGGGCAGGGAACAATGAAAGTAGTAGGAAGAATAGGCAACAAATTAGAAGTATTAAAGGAGGAGGCAAGAGGCAGAGGGGAGCAGTAGAACAGTGGGACAACAGGTAGAGAGTAGTGAGCAGAGGAGGCAGTAGAAGACAGTAGGACAGCAACAGGTAGGGGAGTAGGGAGCGAAGGGGTGAGTGGAGATGAAATTAGGAAGAGGGGGGAGCGATGTGATGGATCAGGACAAGAAGACAGAAGAGAGGTAGGGGGAGGAGCAAGTCAGGATAGCAGGTAGGGGGTTAGGGCGTAGTGGGCAGGGGGGCAGTGGGACCGTGGGTAGGGGGGTAGTGGGCAGTGGGGCAGGGAGCATGGGGCAGGAGTCAGCCTCTCCAACTCCACACCACCCCACCCCTGCTCTCCTTGGCCTTCAGCCTCCTGCCAAATACCAGCACATCCCGAGTTTGCTGTCGTCCCGATAAGAATAGTGCGGTAACCATGAGGAGGCAGCCGGTCACTTTTGGATGACTTTTATGCTTAGAAACAAAAATATTTGGGGTGCCTGTCTGGCTCAGTTAGTAGAGTGTGTCAACTCTTGATCTCAGGGCTGTGAGTTCAAGCCCCACTTTGGGTACAGAGATTACTTAAAAATAAAATCTTAAAAAAAATTTAACAGTCCATTTATTTAAAATTTGCCCTTAAGATTTTTTAAACACTAATTAATTTTTTTTTTTTTTTAGAGAAAGAGAGAGGGTTCATATGAGCAAGGTGCAGAGGGAGAGAGAGTGTGGAGCCCGACGTGGGGCTTGAACTCTTGAACCATGAGATCGTGACCTGAGCTGAAGAGGGACACTTAACCGACTGAGCCACCCTGGAGACCTGTCCCTAATAAATGATTTTGAGACAACCAACTACTTGTAAAAACATGAAATTAGGGTGTCTGGGTGGCTCAGTCGGTTCTTTGGCTCAGGTCATGATCTCACGGTTCATGAGTTCGAGCCCCGCGTCAGGCTCTGTGCTGACAGCTAGGAGCCCAGAGCCTGCTTTGGATTCTGTGTCTCCCTCGCTCTCTGCCCCTCCCTTGCTCATGCTCTGTCTCTGTCTCTCTCTCAAAAATAAACATTAAAAAATTTTTCAAAAAATTATGAACTTCAATCTGTATCTCACACCACCTGCAGTGAGAAGCATCAATCAGAGATCTAAACACAAACGAATGAAGCAATATAGACACCAAAAGAAAACCTAAATGTGAATGATTTCTTTCAGAACGTGGGTATAAAGAACGAATTTCTAACTAGGACTCAAAATCTAAGAGTAACTTGGGGTGCCTGGGTGGCTCAGTCGGCTACGTGTCCGACTTCGGCTCAGGTCACGATCTCGCGGTCCGTGAGTTCGAGCCCCGTGTCGGGCTCTGTGCTGACAGCTCAGAGCCTGGAGCCTGTTTCAGATTCTGTGTCTCCCTCTCTCTCTGACCCTCCCCTGTTTGTGCTGTGTCTCTCTCTGTCTCAAAAATAAATAAAAAACGTTAAAAAAATTTAAAAAAAAATCTAAGAGTAACTTAAAACAAGTTGATAAATTTTACTCTTAAAAAAGTTTGCAATGCAAAAAAAACCCCAATGAAAACAAAGTAAAAAATATAGAAAAATATAGAAAAAATGTGGAAAAAATAAACTTGAGAGAGAAATGGGCATATATGAATAGGTCACCAAAAAAGGAGGTAGTGATCTTTAAACGTGTGAAATAATGCTGAAATGACATATAAATTGCAACCTTTTTTCTTTTTTTCCCTAGGTTTATGTCGGTTTGAAATTTCTTACAATAAAAAAGTATGGAGGGGTGCCTGGGTGGCTCAGTCGGTGAAGCATCTGACTCTTGACTTCGGCTCGGGTCACGATCTCACGATCCGTGGGTTTGAGCCCTGCGTCAGGCTCTGTGCTGACAGCATGGAACCTGCTTGCGATTCTCTCTCTCTCTCTGCCCCTCCCCCACTGGCTCTCTCCCTCTCAAAATAAATAAACTAAACAAACAAAAACTATTAAAAAGAAACATCAAAGGCAAAGTGTTTTAAACTGCCAGTGAGAATCTGAAGATGGTTAACCATGTTGTCCATGCTGAAAAGAAACAAGGAGCTCACAGTGCCCGGTTCTCAGAGGAAAAGAGATCTGACAGAAACATGAAAACAGAGGCGACAGGTGCGCCAGCTAGAAGCCAATGCTTGTGCAAGGTCCACAGCCCACGGAATTGGTTGGGCCCACATGCTTACGGAGTGTGGACGCCCCGAAGCAGCCAGCCTGTTTCTTGCCTTCCGGGAACAACAGAGACTCAGGAGCCTAAGCAAACAAGGTCGGCCCAGACTGGCCCTGCCCTGCCCTGCTCTGCCTGCTGATGGCTGGGAGAGATCCTGGGGCTGCAGGGAGGCCGTCGAGTCATGGCCCTGATGCCAGGAGGCAGAGCAGCAAACAGGAGAGGCAAACACAAGGTGTCAGGGGAGTAGCCAGCAGAGAGATCCCGGGGGTCGGGGAAGGTCCACCAAAGAGGAGTTTGGAGGGTCCGCAGAGGGTAGCGGAGGCCAGGAAGGGAAGCGCTGCAGAAACTGGAAGCCGCGGGAAGGTGCTGGGGAGAGGGAGACGGGCAGGGTCGGTGACCACAGCCCAGGGCACCGCTGCACACCGGGGTCAGGCTGGACGCACACGGGCCACCTCTGCACATGGCATGACACTTCCACCAGGAGTAGGAAAGTCCCCACTATCTGTGCATGTCTTGCGACAGCTACTGTCATCACAGGGACAACTAAGGCTCGTGAGATCCTGTGCACTGACCTCTCAGAGAAGTGGCAGGGACATACACGTGTACCATGGGCTCATCCCAGACGTAGACCTTTTTCACGAGAAAATCGGAAGGAGTAGGTTTCTCAGAGAACCTAGGAAGGAAAAGCAAAGCAATAGTGTCCAGTTTTGTTTTGCTTTTTTCCTGTTGAGGACCTCTGTCATGCAACGTTGTGCAAGGACAAGGACGCGGGCTGGGACTCCGCGGGGCCACTGTGTGTGTCCCCCGGCAGCACTGGCTCTCAGTAAGAACTACACGCCCTCCCTCCCTTCACTGCATTAAAAATAAAAACTTCTGGGGCACCTGGCTGGCTCAGTCGGTTAAGCGTCCGACTTCGGCTCAGGTCATGATCTCATGGTTCGTGAGTTCAAGCCCCGCATCGGACAGCTCAGAGCCTGGGGCCTGCTTCAGACTCTGTGTCTCCCTCTCTCTCTGCCCCTCTCGGACTCACACTCTGTCTCTCTCTCAAAAATAAATAAGTGTTTTTTGTTTTTTTTTTTTTTAAAAGCAAAGAGCCATGCTTCCCACTCAGTGGGTCAGCTCGTGTGACCAGATGAGGGTCAGCTGACATACACTGAGTCTGTGCTGTATGCGGTGTGGATGTTACCCTGTGGAAGACACACCTAGCTGAGGTGCCCACCTAGGCAGGGCAGCAGGACAGACAGAGGAAAGCTTTGTCCGACAGCTGAAGGACGCGGCCCTCAGGGAGGAGAAATGATCCAGCAGAACCCCGGGCCCACCCAGACGGACGTGAGCTCTCAGTGCCGGCGGCATCTGCTGGCTCTGTTCATGCAGGATTCATTCCTAAAAACCTTCCCGGCAGTCATTCACCTGTGTTCCTTTGTGATTCATCCATAGGATGGGCCTCCCGAGGCCTCACCGACTCAACATCGCTGAGAGACAGGATTCGTTTACCAAGTCTCCTCAGATACATCTCTTTGAACGCATTTTTTTTTTTTTTCTTAGAAAAATAAACAGAAAGTAAGAGGATTCTGACCCAGGTCTACACGGTGAGAGAGAAGTGGATTCCTAATGAGGCCACCGGTATTTGGGCGTTTCTTATGCTAATAAGCTGAGCAGGTAGGAATCCAAAATCAGGAAAAACTTGGCAGGAAGCTTATTCTGTGAGCAGGTGACCATGTCACATATGGCACATAATTCTGTTAGACAATGAGCTCAGGACTGCATTAAAAGTGAATTTCACTCCCTGGGGGCACCTGGGTGGCTCAATCTGTTGAGCATCAGACTCTAGACCTCGGCTCAGGTCATGATCTCCAGGTTCATGAGTTCGAGCCCCAAGCCGGGCTCTTTGCTGACAGTGCAGAGCCTGCTTGGGATTCTCTCTCTCCCCCTCTCTCTGCCCCTTCCCCACTCTCTCTCTCTCTCTCAAGATAAATAAACTTCATTAAAAAAAAAAAATTAAAGTAAGTTTACTCCATAGCTTTTTGCAAGGACTTTGTCGCTGGCTGGAAAGAAACCCTGGTGGCCTCCCCACAACACACCTTACCAGCACCATGACCGGGAACGCTCTTGAAATGGGCCTAGAGAATTCTATCCTTATCTGCAGAGACTCCTGGGGGCTTTCGGAACGCCCGGTGAACCGATGAAAATTCACTGTCTCCCGAAGCAACGCAAAGGTCGTCCTGTTTCTCCTCTCACCCTGTCACCACATGGAAAGCGAGGTCAGCAAAATTTGCCTTGGGAAAAGTCAAGGCACACGAGGCCACGCGGCCTACGTGAAGTCAAGGTGGCTTGGGCAAGACCCCCTCACCAGGCCGTCTTCCTCCCCGAACTCCACGACCACAGGCTCCCTCAGCCGCTGCCTGCTGATGGGCCTTCTGCCAGAGCAGGTGAACAGGGACAGGGCGACAAGCGAGCCAATCTGCAGAGACAGGAGCACCTAGGAGCCAGGCGGCAGTACTGGGCATCCGACAGCAGGGGGCGGGGTGGAGAAACGCGGCTCCCTTTACTGGTTAGGAAGGCAGGACTGTGATTACTCTTATTATATTAATAATTTCTAAAGTCTAAAGTAGTTTCGTTTTTCACTTTAACAGCTCACACCAGAAGAACAGCGGCAGATCGTAGACAATCAGGAAGGTACAGAAAGGCGTACAGAAGAGACATGGATAGCTGGCCTGTGGCGCCGTGGCTCAGAGAACCCGTCTGGGGTGCTGCGTCCCGACCCGTCTCTGTGCCCCAGACACACACTGGGCACGCAACGCATGCTCCTCACTGTTTGCACAGAATCTTCCAAAGTCACTAAAAGCCCCTGACTCACGTAATTTCAACTGGTGATACATGGATAATAATTCATTTAAATCACCAGTGAGCTGGATCCCTCTGTCGAACATTTAGATACATTTCTATTTAGGTGATCACACATAATGTTGTTTTGAATAAATAAGTAAAACAGCACATCTTGCTTTGAATAGCTCTTTTTCCCCTTCCTCCGTAGGCTCAGTGTAGCAGCAGGTCCGGCGCGTGAAGCTGCTCGGAGAACATGCACCGTGGATGCCTGCTCGCCATGCCTCCCTAGAAGCGAGTCTCTCTAAAGAACTGTGCTGCTGCGTGTTAAAAAAAATCATTTTGATTTCTATTTCCTGTTTGTTAATTTGAATGATTTTTGGGGCACCTGGGTGGTTCAGTCGGTTAAGTGACCGACTTCGGCTCAGGTCATGATCTCACAGCTCATGGGTTCGAGCCCCGTGTCGGGCTCTGTGCTGACAGCTTGGAGCCCAGAGCCTGCTTCAGGCTCTGTGTCTCCCTCTCTCTCTCTGCCCCTCCCCAGCTTGCACTCCATCTCTCTCAAAAATAAATAAATGTAAAAAAAAAAAAAAAAGAATAATTTTCATATGCTGACTAGCCATTTCTATTTCCCTAAGAAAATAACAACGGGTCGATGTTTTCTCAGATGAGCATTTTTCACCAAGATAAGCTGTACGTCATTCAGTCATCAGACATTTACCGGGTACCTGAGCCAAGCGGGGGGTGTGGAACACACGGAGGATGCTGACTCTGCCCTCCCAGCTCTCTGCGACAATGGGGTTCTGCAGGTGGTTTCCGGGTGCAGGAGGCGAAGCAGGGGCTCCCAGAATCGCCAAGAGCTGGCCCCACCTTCCCCGACCTCCCCATTCTCACACCCTGCTCTGACTCTGGTCCCCTCTTCTGCCGAGCCCCCCAAGAACCCGGCGGCTGCGCTTGCTGGTTCAGCCTCGAGGTGCCGGTGAGTTAAGTGTGGAAGACAAGAGGTACAGGCTAGTGGGCCCAAGGCAGCCCCGTCTCAAGTCTCACGGAGTTACATTCTTCCTCTGATTTGCAGAAACAGGTAAAATGGCCCCTTCGGCAATACTGAGTGGGCCCAGGTCCCGGGATCCCAGGGAGACCTAGTTTTGCTAAAAGCTTCTTCCGAGAAAACTAGAGCCAACCGTACATTGTAAGCGGCCCCCCTCTTGGACCTGAGCGAAACGTGCCACGCTGACCCCTCTCTTATCATCAAAGCGTAACCCCTGCACGGCAGAGGTGCTCACTCGAAGGGATGGGTCACCCGCCGTATGATACCTGGCCGGGAGCTCGTCGCCCCGGATACGGGTTCTTCTTGAAGAGCATGAGCTGGCTAATGTAACACGGGCTTTGCATCCCCGCCACCGCAGGCCTCTGTCTGGCCAGGCCACCAGGTAAATGCACGCGCACAGGGCCCAGGCTCTGCACAGCGCCCTGATGGTCGTGATGAAGAAGCGTGCAGAACTCCATCTGCCCAGCGCTGACACAGAGCTGACGCTCCTTGGCTGCAGAGAGACCTTCCTGGAACAACAGAGAGTCAAACGCTCACAGCACAAATGAGTACGCAGTCTCGAATCCAGAAGCAGGGGGGAGACAAAGTCATGAAAAGGTAGCTCATCTCAAGGTAGTTTGGACTAGCTAGCTGGTGATACGGGGATATAAACACCAAATACCAATAACACACAACCTGTTTTCTTTGGTTTCGGGCCCTGTGCCTGGAACATTTCATTCACTTTGCAACAACCACTATCCTTCTATTCGTTTTGCGACAACTGCTATACTTCCGGTTTCTCAGCCCATCCAGAAGGAGCCTCAATACTGCATGGTCTTGCTGTATAGACGGGAGTGCGTGCCTTGGGGTTTAGTGCAGGGTGGGTGTGAGGTGAGCAGCTCGTGTTTCTAAATGCATAATTGCTAATCAGTTGCTATGAGGGGAGCATCTGTGTATTTCTGATTTCCCAAGTATCGGTTAAACCAGTAGGTCTGGACAGGAGGGAGGTAGTTATGCATCAGGGCTGCTTTTCACATTAACGCACATTAGAAATCATTTGTATTACTTCACTCTGCTCCTCAAGAAGCAGAAAGTGTGCTGAGAAATGCCGTCTCTAAGTCAGGCACCGCTCCAGACACCCCAAAAGGGACTCTACCAAAACACGGAAGGATGGAACGGAAGCAAAGTTTCATCGTGAACGTTACAGCGTTCGCACGAAACACTCAAAATTCAAGCCAAAAATCTCCGAAGGCGCCCACGACCACCCAGAAGAAGCCACACGGAACTTCAGGAACCAGTTATGGTCTCGGTGTCTAGAAGCAGCCACGAGAGGGGATGGCTGTTACCAACGAAGATGAAGTCTGACTTACCAACAAGAGGGCCGAGATGACCTTAATGCCCTCTTCTTGGAGGAAGCCCACGTTCCTCGGGGTCTCCTGGTCGGACACTTCCCAGATGGCAGACACCAGCAGTATAAGCTCCAGCATCGTGCGCTCAGCCACCGCGGGCCTCCCCGAGAGCAGGCTCTGAGCCAGGAGCGCCTGGGTGGACTTCAGGACGAGAGCTGCACTCGTAAAGCTTACCTGTGGGAGAAGTGAAGGCGTAACCAGTCTCCCTGCACCTGTCTCCTCCATCACTCCTGGAAACAGCAAATGCAGCACCACAGCTCCAGATGGCGGGGTTCGAGCCCGGGTTCTGCCTAGTGGAAGACTGGCCAAATTCAGAGGTGACAATTTCCTCTCTGGTCTTCGGTTTCCTGAGCCATGAAACGACCAGAGAAAATAAGAGTCTCTAATAACCGTTACGCGAAGACGCTGCTGGGTCTGAACCCAGCGACCCTCTTATGGTTCCCCAAGCATCAACGTCTTGCCCTGCAGTGTCCTTTCCCTACGTCTGCTGGCAAAATCCTACTTTACTCTCTTTTTTCCTAAACTCCTAATAGGGACCATTTTCAAACATACACGAAAACAGAATAACCCAGCTGTGATTATTACTCATCGACAAGAGATTTTCTCCCTCTCCTTTGGTTTCTAAGAAGATATTTAAAGGGGCGCCTGGGTGGCGCAGTCGGTTAAGCGTCAGTCTGATTTAGCCAGGCGTCATCTCACGTCCTGAGTTCATTTAGCCCGCCAGTCAGTTTCACAGTCCGGAGCCTGGAGCCTGAGTTCCCATTCTCTTGTGTTCTCTCTGCCTCTCCCCGTTCATGTTTGTCTCTCTCTGTCCCAAAAATAAATAAAAACGTTGAAAAAAAATTTAAAAAAAAAAAAAAAGAAGATATTTAAAAACGAATTGCATGGTTTCTACTGTTTCCATGCATGAACACGTCAGTGTGTACGGCTGACATGAGAACTCTTTCTGAAGACGTGCCCACGACGCCATTACTGCGCCGGACAGGATTAATCATGATTCTTTCCCATGTATCTTTTAAAACCAACGTCAAGTGCCCACCAGGCAAAGTAGTCTGCATCACTGCCCATGTTTCTGGAGCTCCCTGTCCCCCTCCTCCTTACAGGACCCGGCATATTTACCGAAGCGTGTCTGTTCCCGCGTTTAGCGCCCGTCATGGGTGCCCCAAAGACAGCACTGAATGTGTCCCTCCTTTGTGCCCTGGCAGCTCCTGGCAATTGCCAAGTAAATGGGTATCGATGAAACGAAATTAAGATTCTACTTTCTGACAGCCATGCTTGTTTAGCCAGAACGTGGCTTGGAAACACTTCCTGACATCAAACTCTTTCATCAGCAATGAGATGAAACTCGCCTGGAAACACACTGAAACTGCTATTACAGGCACCACACACAAAGTAACTTCTCAGAATTGAAGTAATAAGTTCTTACTTCAAGTAAAACAAATGCCTTTAAAGAACAGATTATGCCCACTTTTCACACTGGCCATTTTTTTAGCTTATTTTATTTTGAGAGAGAGAGGGAGAAAGAGCAGGGGAGGGACAGACAGAGAGGGAAGGAGAGAATGAGCAGGGGAGGGGCAGAGAGAGAGAGAATCCCAAGCTGGCTCTGCACTGTCACCACAGGGCCCGACGCAGGACTCGAACTCACGAACTGTGAGATCATGACCTGAGATGCAACCAAGAGTCAGATGCTTAACCGACTGAGCCCCCAGATGCCCCAACACTGGCTACTTTTTAATCAAAACTATTGGAAATGGTTTCTGCAAATGACAACCCTGCTAAGGTCTGCCCACACTGAGGCCAGGACCGTGGCAGACCCCAGGGTGCACAGACAGGGGAGCGGGACCTATGCAGATGTCTTCGGCTTCCACCAAGTCACCCCCCTGGCCTGGGGGAGTAATTCCATTCCCAGGTGTCCAGAGCCCAGGAGCAGCCCTGTGATGGGTCCTCTCAGGGGGATGTGATGGGGTGCGGGATGGCACTTACGGGCAACATCCTTGATGAGTGGTGCCCCTTCTCTCTGCCTCTCTCCAGCCTGGGAAGCGTCGGGGGCACGGGCTGACAGGACCCAGGGTGCGCGCGTCACCCTGGGAAGCCCACCCGCTGACACCTGTGCATGCGCGCATGACGGGGACAGGCTGCTGACATGCCAGGATGGTCCGCTACTTGTCCCAACCCGGTGTGAGATCCTAGCAGGCTAAGTCGCCTGGAGGTCAAAGACAGGCGTGCAGAAAGTGATCACCAGTCAGAGGTGCTAAAGCGCCCTAATGCGGTCACTTACAGACTTGTCCAGAACGAGTGAGCTCTGCCTGCGGGGCCCTGGAGAGCCCACCGAGAACGCACCACCTGAACCTAGCTTTGGGGGAGAAAATGGTATCTTCCCCGGGAAGAGCGACAGGAATGTTCCAGGCTGAGGGAGAACATACAGGTTCAGGGGTGCAAGGAATATTTGCTGACAGGAACATGGCGGGTGGCCATGGAAGGTGCGAGAGGAAGTGCAGAGGACGCTGAGCAAGTGAAGCCCAGGTGTGAGATGCGGGAGAACGGACTCTGTCCTCAAGGTTCTGGGAAGCCACCAATGCCTTAAAGGCAGAGAGCGTCACTGACTAAAGTGTCTTCTCTGAGGTCTGCTCTGGGCAGTTGTGGGGATGTGTCCCTGCTGGGGGCCAGCCTTCCTCCCCAGGTCACTGACAGGGAGCAATTCAAGGTGATGCGGACGTGGATTGGGCAGGAGGGAGAGAACAAGGTGACAGTCATCCAAGTCCTCACTCAGTCCCTCGTTCCTGCCACACCTGTGTCATGGGCTGGGCTGGTGTCACAGCCCTGGTTATATGGGTGCAGAGGAGTGAAAGGAGCTTGTATTCATGAGGGAATGTTCTGGAGGCAGAAGTTGGAGAAGCACAGTTGGAGAAGCAGGGAGCACAGTAGGGGAGATAGGGAGCACATCGGCAGAGGTAGGGAGCACAAATGGAGGGGCAGGAGCACAGCTAGAGGGGCAGAGAGCACACTTGGAGGGGCAGGAGCACAACTGGAGGCACAGGGAGCACAGCTGGAGGGGCAGGGAGCACAGCTGGAGGGGCAGGGAGCACAGCTGGAGGGGCAGGGAGCAGTCGGAGGGGCAGGGAGCAGTTGGAGGGGCAAGGAGCAGTTGGAGGGGCAGGAGCACAGCGGGAGAGGCAGGGAGCACACCTGAGAGCACAGCTGGAGGGGCAGGAGCATAGATGGAGGGGAAGGAACACAGCTGGAGGAGCAGGGAGCATAGCTGGAGGGGCAGGGAGCAGTTGGAGGGCAGGAGCAAAGTGGGAGAGGCAGGGAGCACAGTGGGAGAGGCAGGGAGCACAGCTGGAGAGTCAGGGAGCAAAGCTGAAGGGGCAGGAGTACAGCTGGAGGGGCAGGAGCACAGTTGGAGGGGCAGGAGCACAGTTGGAGGGACAGGAAGCATAGCTGGTGGGGCAGGGAGCAGTTGGAGGGGCAGGGAGCACAGCTGGAGGGGCGGGAGCACAGCTGGAGATGCAGGGAGCATAGTTGGAGGGGCAGGGAGCACAGCTGGAGGGGCAGGGAGCAGTTGGAGGGGCAAGGATTGGAGATGCAGGGAGCACAGATGGAGGGGCAGGGAGCAGAGTCAGGGGTTACACAGAGGAGTTCCTGGGCAGGACAGGGGTGGAGACCATCAGTTCAGCAACATCACTGGCCTTTAATTGAAAAGGCCGTGATGAGATCCTTGTGCACCTGCCAGGCAACGGAGAAGGGAGGGGCCCACAGTGGTCACAGGCAAAGAGGCTATGTGCCCAGAGGGGTCCCTCGAGGGGCAGACCAGGCAGCACGGGAGTCTGCAGGTACTGGGTCAGGAGCAGGCTCTGTGGTGAGGTGGGGCAGGCAGCCAGATCCCGACAGCTTACCTGTGTGTGAGTCACGGCGGGCCGAGCCCGCCTTCGGCAGGTTCTGCTCTGAAGAGGGGCCACCACCTGCAACCACACAGGGGCCCGCACGATGCCAGGGGGCAGCAGTCACACTGCTACAAGGGAGCGATGAGGCGGCCCGGATGGGATCGAGCACAAGTAGGGGGTGAGCCCTCCTGGCTGTGGAGCATCCCTGCCAGGGCAAGGGGGGGCCCTGGAAGACAGGCTGGGCTGCAGCTCGCTCTGAGGGCTGGTGTAGACGACCTCGGTGGGGTCTCCTCTCCCCTCCCAGTGAGCAGGCAGTGAGAACATCGGGGAATGGGGGCAGTGGGGCCAGAGATGCGAGGAGAAAGAAGGCGCGGACTGGAGAACCCAGCACCCAGATTACTAGCAGAGAACGACCCCCTTAACCAGAAGTATGTGTAGTATGGACGACACCGTCGTAATGCGTCTCTACTTTGGGTCTTCAAACTTCTGTGTTAGGGAGACCTTACTGCCTCATGCTCTGGGATGCGCCGTGCTATTCAGGTGAATTTGCGAGAGAAGTCCCGTTTCTAATTCAAGGGTCAAACCCTATACTGTATGTTCTTCAAGAACGGACAGAGATCCTCCCAGTTAGGCACAAAAGCAGGAAAATACACTTGGCAAGAAACAGCACTCACCTTGTGAGGGAAGCGCAGGAGGTCCCTGAACAGGAGAACAGAATCAAGCATTTCCTCCTGACCCAGAGAAACAAGCAAGCACAAGAAGGAGGCAAAAGGGAAGGTTACTTATGCTTATTTAAAGTCAAACAGTTCACCGTGTGGTCCTTCCTGCAGCTGGAGCGGATTCCGGGGCTCTGAGGCGAGGGACCGTGGAGGGACCCAGGGTCCCCTTGACCTGAGTTTCCCAGGGGGAGCAGGGTGTCCGCCTCCCCCAGCCCACCTGGAGTGTGACCGGAGGGGAAGGAGAGGGAGGGCAGAGCTCAGGGAAACTTGGGACAAGGGGGAGAGAGTCCCGGAGGAAGGAACAGCACCAGTTCAGGAAGGATCAACACTACAATGACACATGTTCTAAGATGCGGCGTTCTCTAGTGGCAATCAGGGACAGCAGGTGCAGACGGGCAGTGACCAAGGGCAGTGACATTTGAACACACGCCCATTTCCTTAGAAGCTGCACATAATCATACACGTAACTCCGGCACGTCACTGACAAGACACAGTCAGATGGGTCACTTCACAGTGACCTGCAGTGGTAACCACCTTGCACGGCCTCTCTTGTGAACCGACAGCATTTGTTTGTGGAAGAATGAGCACACGTGACAGAGGCCACAGCCTCGCGCCCAAGCCACGCCCTCCCGGTCCTCTTTCTTGACTGCTTTAGTAAGGCCGCTTGCTGGTGAGTCAGGCCCGGCTACCCGATGCCCATGCACAGGTACCGAGCGTGCCCTGCCCCTGATGGTACCTGATCTGTGGAAGGCAGTCTGCATGCGGAAGAAATCAGCGCATCCTGTATTCGTGACCACTGGCCGCACGGGGGACTTCTGTCGTCTGCAGGCCAGCGACTCAGGATCCTGGCGATCATGGTGATGTAGTTCCTGATTTCTGCGTAACTGCCCATCAGCTGGAGGGTGGACAGGTGCTTCAGGCTGGAATTATATCTGAAGGAAATTGGGGAGTTATCAGGATTGCTCCGACATGCTGGGAACCTCTTCGGCCTGCCTACCGAGACAGGGGTACTTGTGATAGAAATCTTCTTGGGCGGGTGAGGAGGTCGGGGCAGACAGAGAATGGCTCAGAGGAGAGATGGTCTGTGCAAGAGAACTAAAGAGACCCAGTGAGGCAGCACATCAGAACTGCACAAAACCCTTGATCTCCGGCAAACAGAACGACAGAGATGCATTGTGGCAAACGAGAGGGTACGGTGCGGGGCTGGACGCAGACGGCAGTGTGGCTACAGCAGGCTGAAGGTCTGCACACATCCTCACAGTGGAGCTGGAAGACAGCACCCACAATCACAGCGCCGTGCACACTCTGACCGGACGGTATGTCCTTATGCCGGACTTTGCACCATGGCTAAGAGGGGTCTGTGCCCAGGGCGCAAGAGTAACTCGAGTATGGAAATCAGTCAAGGTAATATACCATGGTAACAGATGGATGGACAAAACCCACTTAATCCTCTCGATGGATCTAGCAAAACACAGACAAAATCCAACACCCTGTCGTGAAAAAAAAATACTCCAAAGCTAGGAATACAAAGGAACTTCTTGGACCTGAAAAAAACACAACTCCAGGGAACCTACAGCTAAGGTCATGCTAAATGTTCGGGAATGTTTCCCCGCCACGATCGGAAGCAAGACCGGGATTTCCACACTTGTCACTTCTACTCATCACTGAACTGGAAGAGTCTAGCCAATGCAGTTAAGCCAGAAGTAAGAAATTATCCAGATTGGAAAGGAGGAAAACTCTATTTGCAGATAGCATGCTCTTCTATGTGGAAAAACCCAAAGAATGCGTTCAAAAACTGTTAGAACAGACATGCGAGTTTAGCAAGGCTGTGGGACACAATTGTATCTCTATACACCAGCAATTAAAATCCAAAATAAGAGAACAAGAAAACAACTTGATTTACAATAGCATGAAAAAGAATGAAATTCTTGTAACTAAATTTGACAAAAATATTCAATACCTATACACTGGGAACTATACAATGTTGCTGAAAGAAATGAAAATCTAAGTAAAGGGAAAACTCTGCTCATACATCAGAAGACTTCATATTCTCAAAACGATGATATTCAAAATGACTCAATGCAATCCCTATAAAAATTCCAGGTGGCTTTTTGCAGAGATTAACAATAACCAGGAGATCCAGGATAACCAAAAAAAATGTGGAAAAAGAACAAAGTTAGTGGATTCATGCTTCCTGATTTCAAAATTCACTGCAAAGCTACAGTGGTTAAGACAGTGTGGCAGTGCCATGAAATCAGACATAGAGATGAACAGAGCATTAATTGAGACTCCATAGCATTTACAGGCAATTGATTTTTGACAAAAGGACTAAGACAATTTAATGAGTAAGACTGACCTTTTCAACACACAGCACTAGAAGGACTAGACATCCCTGTGTGCAAAAGTGAACCTGGAGCCTTACCTCACACCACATACACAAGTTAGCTCAAAGAGGATCAGAGAGCTCAGGGTAAGAGAGAAAACTAGAAATCTCCTGGAAGAAAAACACTGGAGTAAATCCTACAGCTATACCAAAGGCACAAGCGATAAAAGAGAAAAATTAGGATGTTGAACTTCATCAAAATTAAACACTTTTATGTTTTTTTTTAAAGGTTTGTTTATATAGTTTAAGGGGGGAGGGGCAGAGAGAGAGAGAGAGAGAGAGATAGAGAGAGAGACAGGGAATCCTAAGCAGGCTCCGTGCTGTCAGTGCAGAGCCCGACGCTGGGCTTGATCTCACGAATCGTGAGATCATGACCTGAGCTGGATTCAAGAGTCCGATGCTAAACCCACTGAGCCCCCCAAGCGCCCCGGGACTGTGTTCTGTATATGGCTGAACGAGTGGCACACAGATGATGTCTCAGTACGATGATTTCTTTTGCTCATCCTGACAAGATAGGACCCCAGGAGCCATCGTTTACTCCACCCGTGGCCGAGCGGGGGAGACCCGGCCCCGAGGAAATGCAGGCACGCGCCGGGGTCTCTGTGCCGCTTACTCACATGTCCTCGTCCAGGCAGAGACCCCCGTGGAGACGGGGCAGCACAGTCACCGCCACGGCACACGGCTGTGCCCGGGAGCCCGAGCCATCTGTGATCTCGGTGGACAGCATGACTGGAAGGGAACGTAACAGAGGATACCAACACCTCAGGACCCAGACTGTCTACTGCCAGCCATCACCAGAACAGTAATGACACCGTGCATCACAACAGAGTGAGGCGTGAGCGCTGAGTGTGGCTGCCCCATCCTAGGGGCGAGGTCTGGCGTTCCAATGTAAAATGCCCCACAGCAGTATGGGACACTGAGCACCAGAGAGCTGGGGACACGGATGCAGTCACAAGAGGCAGCAGAAGCAACAGCCACAGGCCACAGGAGCCAGGAGGTGGTTTGCTCACTCCCACTTCCTCGGCACTCGTCTGACCTGCAGGCCCTGGGAGCCGGCAGCTCAAGGCCACTAGCAAACGGGACCGGTCCCACCTGGGAGCACTGGGCCTGGGAGCACTGGGCCAGGGGGAAGATGGAGCTGTGGGAAGCCCAGAGGACAAAAGCCACAGTCCGCAACGGAGGATTAGGCGTTGGGGTAACATTTTAAGCCGCTCCTAAATCACGTACAGAGACACGGCAAGTCTGGAGAAAGGCAAAGGAAGTCTGCGTGAAGTCATGGGAGCGTGGTCAGAAATGCCTTTTCTGGGGCGTCAGAAACTCCGTCCTGTGGTGCAGGCCTAGGGTCTGGGGTGTGGATGACACTCACCACGAAAGCCACGGGGCCAGCCACAGGAGTCACGCAAAAGAGCAGAACAGAGGCATGTCATGGGCTTTCATAAAAGCATCTCAACCCAAAACACAGGGCCCAGGATTTGGGACTTAATTTTGAGGGTTGTGGTCCCTGGACCCTGGCCACCCCATCACCCCTACAAGCGAATTCTGGACTCCCCCCTGTCCTAGGACTCTGAGCCCGTGGATACGGGGAGGCCCCATGTCAGCTGCGAGAGAGCCGGTTTAACAAGAGCTGCAGGGACCCCACTGCAGGTGACGTGGCCCTCCCGCTGAAGCAGGGGACTCAGGCAAGGCAGCGGGAGCCGGCAGAGTTCAGGTGGACCCCACCCCGACCCCTGCGGCTGTGGAACCTTCAGTCCAGAGATGGAATGGGCTGGGATTAAGGGTCTGCTGCACTGTATTCAGTCTGCCTGCGTTCCCCCTCGTAGGAATCTTCAAGTCAGGTCCTCGAAGGAACAGATCATCCCTGTGTCGACAACTGTAACTCCTGTGGGGTCTTTGGAATGACCTGGGGATGTCACTCACCCTGACATTGCTCAGTGACGGTGGCCTGAAATATGGGTCTACAAATTGATCCCACATGGGGGCACCTGGGGGGCTCAGTCGGTTGAGCGTCAGACTTCGGCTCAGGTCATGATCTCGCAGTTCGTGGGTTTGAGTCCTGTGTCAGGCTCTGTGCTGACAGCTCAGAGCCTGGAGCCTGCTTCGGATCCTGTGTGTCCATCTCTCTCTGCCCCTCCCCTGCTCATGCTCTCTCTTTCAAAAATAAATAAACATTAAAAAAGCAAAACAAAAATCCATCCAACACAGAGCTGAGGCCCTGCCCTGATGTCCTAGGTGGGCATGTGCACAGCCCTATGGTCTGCACACCCCTGCGGACGGGGTCCCACATGGCCCTGTGGGCAGGAGTCTGGAGAGAGGCACTGCCCAGTCTGAATCAAAGCATAGGGCTTCGTGCCCAACACCAGGAAGCAGGGGAGCCTGCGGGGCGAGCATCCATTTGGAGGAAACTTTCCAGGAGACAGAAGGTGCGTGTGGTTTCATTCTGGAAGGAGTGAGGCAGGCCCTGAAACCACCTGCAGCCATCACCGCGCTCATCAGGACACACGGCAGATGTGCCCATCTGAGCGGATAGGTGTCCAGCTCAGAAGGCCTTTGCTCAGTGTCACCCACCTACAGCCAGGAGAAGGTGCACATGTGTCTAACTGGGGGTCAGGGAGGCTTTCCTGAACTAGACACCTTTCTGGCTGGGGTTCAGGGAGAGAGGAGGTTTAAGCAAACCAGGTGGATGAACCAGTTGCAGACGTCAGGCTGAAATACTCTCAGGTGGCCAGGTCAAAGAAACTTCTGGATGAGTGACTCTCAAACTTGCCTGCATGTCAGAATCATCCAGAAGGCTAAAAAACACCCTGTCAGCCCCCGAGATTGACGTAACAGGCACGGTCCCGCAGATGGGGCCGCTTTCCTCAGTGGTGGGGTATCTAATACGCGCAGCGGAGGGAGGCCACTGTGGCCGGCTGAGAATGGGGCAGCCCGCCGGCACAGGGGTCGGGGAAGCTGCCAGCATCGTGGAGCTCTTTTTGCTCTGGGAACAACACATACTCAACTCTACATTCCCTTACCCCTGTGTTTTCTTCGCGGCGGGAGCCCCCCCATTGGGTTCTGTCTACAACCAACGCAGGATTCACCAGAGACCACATGTTTTGTCAGTAAACAAGGGACAGCTTGGTCTCAAACGTTTAATCCATACTCACAAGATGTTCCCTGGCACTTCAGCATTTACACTATATCTCAGCTGTAATTTTAAAAGAAATTTATTTATAGTTTCGCTAATGTCTCTACACTAGAAAGTAGGTAATCCACCTCATCTAAAAAGCATGACACTTTTCCAGATGAATAAATAAGAACTTATTTTCTAAATTAAAAAAAAAATTTTAACATTTATATATTTTTGAGACAGAGACAGAGACAGAGCACGAGCAGGGGAGGAGCAGAGA